GACGTAACAATATATATAAGTTGATAGCAACAGTTACTGTTGTTTTGTGTGTGTTTTATGCACAATTGTTTTTGGGTCAGTTCTTGACTTTGGGTTTTGATACATTATATTTTTGTGCGTGTTTCATAGCTTTTTGTTATAACTTTGTTTCTACATAAATAGAAATTAAGTTGTGTCTATAACTTTTACTGTTAAATTGGTTAAGTGTTGTTGATAAAATATACATTTATTAATATGGTTAACAATATTGATTTCTCTGTAGTGGAACTTATTGATTGTACCATTTGTCATCATCAAAGGATAACACCTTGAAAACTGACAAATTTTAAAATTAGGTTCTTTTCTTCCAAACGTCTTAAGTTAATGCTTCTCCTTCCCATAATTTAAACACACACATACTTCACCTTTTATCTACTTTAATATTATAATTTAACTTGAACTAAATTTGAACTAATACATGTTTTTTATTCATTAAATCAAAAATTTTTAAGTAACACAATATGGTTACATGTGTTGCTATAATATGTAATTTATAATTTAAACCCTGTGCTGTTCTATCAACAATTTGTTTTAAGTTCAAACCTTCAATAGCCTACTGTTAGTTCTGAGGAAGGATGGTAGCCTGAAATGTTAACTATACTAATAAATACATCTTTTCTCAGCAAGACTTAACCAATTTCTTTCTTATACAAGTTTAATTTACAGTTTTGTACTTTTTTTAGCTTCTGTATATGGCTTTGTTTGAATTTCAGTTTTGGAGTTTTACTGTACTTTTTATAGCATAAAAAATACATTTATCTTCATCTTCACTGGCCATGAACATTTATTGCTGTAAATGGAAAAGTCTTGCTATATTATTTGGATGATTGTTTATCTTTTGTTAATGAATGTTTTATAATTAATGAAACTGTAATAATTTGCAGTAACTGTAATAGCTTATGATTTTCAGAATTTTGCTCTGAATGCTTATGCTAATTCTGAAGTAAAGTTTTTAATTGTAGTTTATATCACATAAAAGCTGCTAATCTGCAGAAATGGAGAAATTATAGTAAAGGTCAAAGAACTTATGGGTTATACTATCATGTATCTTTGGGGGGGATTGCGTTTGGTCTTTTTTAGTGTCATATTAAAGTAACAGAAATGCTTGTTGAACTATAAAATGTAGTGTAAGTTCTGAGAGCAAAACAGTTTATTGTATTTGTTTCTCTCCTAGATTTTCTTCTTGTAAAGCATTTTTACATATGTTGAATGAAGTCGGTGATATGGCTGGACAACATGAATTGATAGCAGAAAACATGACAACGCAGATAGTAAAAGAAATCAATAACTTAGTGAAAGAATTTAAAGATGAAAGAAAGAGGGTGAGTAAGATGTGAAAGAAAGACATGGAATGTTAAATGTTTTTGAGAACTGAGTTTTAAAGTTTAATACAATTATGAGATACACATAAATCATTATTGAAATTGTGACCATTTGTTATAATATCAAAATAACTTGTGCAAATTACATTAGAAAACAAAAGAAAAGCAACTTTTAATTAATTGTTTAATTAGTCTTTGTGGTGATTATTTATAACACAGAATATAAATAGTTGCACTTCCAAATGGTTACCTGTCAGTAGAGTTAAGATTTTTGTTACTAGAAATTTCCAAAAGTGTTCTGTGAAACAAGTTTGAATATGGATGTAAAAAAAGAGTGGAAACAGTACATTATCTGACATTTGTGTATTATAGAAATTTTTGAATCTGTCATTATAATTCCTGAAATAGAGTTAAAATGTAAAAGGTTTTATTGGGATGAATAATGACACATTTTGTTGACAAAAAGCATTGAATAGCTTGTGAAAACTCCACTTGCTCAAGACATTCACTCTTATTTCAGCATTTACATGAAGGTTCAAAGCTTCAAGCACAGCTGCAAGCATCTTTAGCTCACTTAGACAAGGTTTGTGTAAAATAAGGTTTTTTCACCCTATTAATTAAAATAATATTCGAGATATGAAACTGTTAATCACTTTAAAACCTGATTTGTGAAACATAACTAATTATTTTAGGTGAATTGAAGATTGCATTTTCTTTATTGTTAATTAAAATGTGTTAAGTTTAGGAATTTCAAACTTATTTCTATTATAAAAAGTAGACAATTCTCACTATGGAATACTGTTACATAGTAAAACTGCATTAGTATGTTTGATAATTTTATTGAATTGTTAACAGGTGCAAAAAAAATGAATTAATTAAACTCAAACAATAGCTGTTCCCAGTGTTCTTTTTTCTTATAGCAACCAGAGTGTAGAGATTAGATTCTGTGGTTTGCACCCCTTTACCACCACAGAGACATGATTTCATTATAAGGTTGACAGTCATATCCTAGTATTAGGTCTGACAAGAGTTGGTAGTGGGTGTTGTTGATTAGCTGCCTTCCCCTTTGTCTGTCAGTTAGAACAAATAGCTCTAGTGTAACATTGCACAAAATCCAATTAACAGTTTTTTTTTTATTATTGAAGAATACTATTCAAAAATGCATACAAAAATAAAACTTGTTTAAAACAAACTTTTTAACCCTAAAATTGTGAATTGGTCATACAGAAATTGTCGTTTGTTCATGGGAACTTTGAACAAGAGTGAACTGCTAGCCATTTTCACGTATAAAAGTTTGCTCAAGTTTAAGGTTTGGCCTCTTGTCTCAAAAAAAAAAAAAGTACTAAAACTTCCAAAACATGATTTTGTTGTTCATGAAAAGTCTATCAAAGCAAGGCTACTTTTGTTTGGATCATTTTATTTTGACCTTGATTTGCAAATTTAAATGTTGATCACTGAATCTTTGAAACCAGTGAAAGTGGTTGGTTAGGTTATAATGAGAAGAACAAATTATCTTATTCCTTCTGCTCAGTGGCAAAGCCAGGCATGAGATGTTAGGTGGAGCTGGAGTTATGATGGAGAGGCAGGTGGCATACAATGAGAAAAGTGAAGCAGAAGCAGTGGTATAGCCATGGATGGGCCTTGGCAGGCCATGGCTTCCCATTCAGCATCTAGGGCATATCCAATCAGAGTCTGCTTGCCTCCATACGTGTCTTTTATGATTGGATTCTAATATTTATAGATGGCCTCTCTTTCTTTATGCTTTAATTTCAAAGGGAATCACATCATGATTGCATCCATAAAGTCTGGATTTTATGCAAACATAACATCTTCCAACCTAGCACTTGCAAGTGAAACTAGAGTATGCATAATCTTTGGACATTCTCCAAGTATATATTGACCAGTTTAGAACTGAAAAGAAGTCTTCTATAGGTAAGTTACAAAAAACAATGAACTTTCACCAAAATCTTGACACAAAATGGCAGAAGAACTCTCTTTTTCTTCTTCTTCTTCTTCTTCTCTTTTCCCAAATGAATTAGAGAACGCAAGTTTTATTGTTCAAACTTTAGTACTATAAATTATCATTGAAAAGCAGTTTTAGCATTTATCACTTGTCAGATACTGTG